GGGGGGGGGGGGCGGGGGGAGAACTGGGGGGAGGAGTGGCTCTCTGTTCCCCACTTGTGCTAGTGCCCTCTCTTTTCCTGAATTTACCCACCTGGTATGCCCACACACCCTCCCCCAGGGTCTCCTCAGCCGGAGGAAGTTTAGGAAGGGGGAAGCTCTGGCCAGAGCTATCAAGAGGGTATCCAAAAAGCCTGGGAAGTTACCGAGGCTTACAAACTTTTCCGGGAGAGGTCTTGGAGGGTATCGAGGGGTTTCTAGGGTTCTGGGTTTACATCAGGGCAAGTAATTGTAGAGGGAGCTTGAGAAAGGGGAGGCAAGGCTGAGAGCAGAGGGCTGAGCTATCCCAAAAGGTGGGAATTAAAACCATCTGAGAAGTATCTGGGCTGATGACTTGGGGGTGGGTAGCAGGAGACAGGTCTCTAGATTTGAGGGAACTCAAACTTTGAGGAAAGTCACTTAGAATGAGAAAGTAACTGGGGAGGGAGAAATGGCTATGGGAAGGAATCCCAGAAGCAGAGAAGTGTGCAGTTGGGGGGAAGGGATACGCTGCCTTACAAAGGGACACCCCCCCCCACAAACACACACCTCCGGACTCAGCGCTGCAGCTAGGTCCTGGGGAAACTGTCCTGACCAGTAGTTTGGAGGTTCAATGAGGCCCTGCGGGTTCTGTAGGGGCGGGGATCTTCTAGAACTTTGAAAGCTAAGAGCAGAAGATCGCAAACAGCCAGGAGGTCCAAAGTTACAGAGAAACAGAGACCTAGAAGTTAGGCCTAGGGAGAATGAGGGGGGTGCCCGAAGAGGAGGAGTTGGGCAGGGGACTTTAGAGAGTCGTGTGGGGGGGGCGACACGGGAGGCAGTGTTTTTAACCTTGGGACACGGAGGGCCGGGAATAAGTAAGTGGCCTCGGCATGTTCAAGAAACGGGAAGTTGAGTTTTGGAGAGGCTGAGGACATTCTGAGGGCCTGAGACATTCTGAAGGTCTCAGAGGGTGTGTGGGAAAGGCGGGGGTGAACTGTCAGGGAACTCCAGGAGATTTTCTGTTAGGGAGCCATTTCCCAGGATCTACGATTACTTGGAGCAGTGGGTTGGAGTTTGGAAGGCCCGAGAGACGCTGAAGGTTCGGGAGGGGTGTGTTTGCAGAGGCGCAGGGAACTCCGGCTGCAGGGGAAAAGGGCTTCCAGGGGACTGGGGAGTCCGGGGGTTGGGGGTAGACTTGAGATGGAGTGTTCCGGGAGCAGAGGGGTTAGGATAGTTAAGGGTGCTCGGAGAGCGCGCTCACCCTGGCAGCCCGCGACGAGTAGGGGTCCTCGAAAAGCGCCCACACGCGGGGCTGCCAGCGCCGCCACCACGTGCCGCCCGCGCCGCCCGCGCCCCCGGCAGGTCCCCCGGCGCCTCCGCCCGCATCTTGGAAGCACAGACGCTTGAGCTCGCCTCCTGCTCCGTCCAGCCCTCCGCCTCCGGCGCCCGCCTCGTCGTCCAGGCCTGCATCGTGGGCACCTCCGGCGTTGGCGGAGTTGGCTGCGCCGGAGGAGTCGGGGGCCTCGAAGGAGTCGAGTGCCTCCTCTGCGTCGCGATGCTGGCGGTAGGTCATCCAGCAGCAGGCCTCCACGTCCGTCTCGTCGATGCCCCAGAAGCCTAGCTCCTCCTCAAAGAGCGGACCGCACACGTCGGCCGGGCAGTGCAGCTTGCCGGTGCGGTAGTAGTTGAGCACGTAGGCGAAGACGCCCGGGTGGCGGTCGAAGAAGAACTCGTCCGTACCCGGATCGTAGTCGAAGCGCGCGGCCGCCTCGGGCTCAGTCAGCCCGGCCAGCCGGGTCCCCGGCAGGGTGCGCAACGTGGAGCGGTACGTCTCATGGCGCACGCCGCCCACGTTGATCACGATCTTACCGCTGTCGCCGCCGCCGCCGCCGTGCCGCCCCATGGCCACCGCCGGCAGCCCGGGGCATGGCTCGGCGCGCCGGCCCCCGGGCCCGCAGGAAAGCGGGGTACCCGCCGGGGACGCGGCGGGGCCGAGTTGCGCGCACTGCTTCTGCAGCGGCGGCGGCGGAGACTCGGGCGGCTGCGGCGTTGGTGCCGGTTGCGGCTGCTGCTCCTCGGCCCCCTGGCGCCCGCGGAACGACCAAACGCACACTGAGCTCAGCATTAGACGGGGAGGTGGGGCCGGGGGCGGGGCCGCAGGGGCGGGGCCCGGATGGAAAGGTAAGCGTGATTGGATGAGAGGAGACGATGAATGGATGAGGAGGGCGCGATTGGGTCGGTGGAGGGAGGACAAGAGCTGATTGGGCTGAGGGGCTGGGCGGGGCCACAGCTAGACGGACTCCGACCATGCCTAGCTAGAGAAGGTGGGGTTGCACAGAAGGCTCAGGGATTGGATCGTACCTAGAAGAGGGCGGGGCGTCAAGGGAACCCTAAAAATGCCTAACTCAGCAGCCCAGCGAAAATGGAGACCCTGGAGCCAGGTATGAGAAAGAGACAGGTGCGGTGGAGACAGGGGGATCAGGAGTTCAAGGTCATGCTACAGAGTGAGGAGGCCAGCCTATGTTACATGAGACTCGACCTCCCCCCCCCTCCCCAAAAAAAGACCTAATAGGCTGTTTTCTAAAAGGGAGGGACCACAGGAGAAGCTGAGGAAAAGAAACCAAACTGGTCACTGGCCTAAGGTCCTGGCAGGCAGTACCTATATTGAAAAAGCAGATGCACAGGGAAGGGTTTGATTAGGTTAACAGTGATAGGAAGCCCAAGAGATCAATAATCTTATTGGGCCGGGACAATGAGAGGAAGGGTCTCACTTAGGGGCGGGGCGGGGGCGGGGAAGACGACCGGAACTGGAGGTGGAGATGGAACCTGATTAAATAAAAACTGACAGGAGACAGAGAAGAGCGGAGAGCAGGACAGTGGGAAGGGGTGGAAGGAAGGAGGGGCCTGGGAACTTCTGAATGGAAGCTGGGGGGGGGGGGGCGGGAGACGGCAAGCTGTAGAGTCCAAGGAGGCCTTAGGTTTGCTATCCTGACCCTGTCTCAGCCTCATCCCGGTAGCTGGGATGACAGACATACATCACCAGGTCCTGCTGGAGCTGCAGACTTGGGCTTCGTTAGGAAGAGGGTCCGATGGATGGAAGAGACACAGGTAGATGGGTGGGGTCTATAAGGGGTTGGAAACATCTCAGTGGTCCAGAGGAAGGTGGGACTAATAAGTGGATGGCAAAGTGGGGCGTTAAAAATGAGCATTCAGAGCTCCAGGAGCCGCTGGGCTCGTCGGATGGAGGACGGGGAATGAGACACCTGTTAGGGGAAAGGCGCTCACTGCTTCTCTGGACACAGGGGTGGGGGGTCAGGGCTGGAATGGAAAGATTCGGTGTCAGATACCCGGGGGATGGTCCACGAGGCCCTCGGGAGGGGCAAAGGTTTCCAGCTGGTGGAGGAAAGGGAATGAGGCCTAAAGCACAAAGACTGCGGACAAGAGATGGGTAAAGAAGCGCGCGCCGGTACTTGAAGGGAGGAGCGCAGCCGGAGAGCCCGCAACAGCTTCTCAACCACTGGGATGGGTGGGCCAATGAAGGGGCGGGGTTATGAAGGAAGAAGGGAGGAGCCGGAGGAGAGGCCACACGCCTCTTGGTTGGTAGGCCCCGCCTCCTGGGCGGTCCTAGGCGCGGGGACCGCAGAACGCTAGTGGCTGCGGCGGAGGCTGCGGCGGGAGGAGGCGCCTGCAAGAGCGGAGAGGGCGGGCGGGTCAGGGGCTGCGGCGGTAGCTGGCTCGTCGCCTCCCTCTGCAGGCGCCGTGCGGGTTCGTATTCCCACCCCAAGCCCGGTTCCGCTTAAGTGTCCTGTCACCTTTCCTTGGTTGTCTCTGAGTGTTCTCCCGCCTGTCCCCACCACTCTGGGAATCTGGTTCATCCGTCTCTGTCTGTCTCCGTGTGAGTCTCACCCTTTCTCTTTGGGTCTTTGTCTCCCTCCTCTGGCCTCAGTCCCTCTTTCTCTGGCTCTTTGTCCCTCTGTCTAGGTCTCTATCTCCTCCCCTTTGGGCCTATGCCTCTCTCTGGATCTCTGGATCTGTCTCACTTTCTGAGGCTCTATCGCCCTCTCTCCCTGGGTCTTGGTTCCTCTTTGTCTCCGGGTCTCTGTTTTGGTCTTTGTCTGTCTTCTCTGGGTCTCTTTCCCTCTCTCCCGCTGGGTCTTGGTTCGTCTCTGTCTCTGGGTTCTCCACCCACCCCAGTCTAACTCCATCCTGGCAGCAGGGGAGTCTGCGTCACTGTAGAGTTGCGGAAGTGGGGCCTGTCCTGCAGCTCCACCACAGACCCTGGAGTCCCCCTCTCTGGAGCCTTCGAGATTCTGATGGACACACCAGGGCAGAAAATAGAAAGAGGCACTTGCTGCCCACTGTGTACTCCTAATCTGGCATGTTACCGAGAGAAGCAGTGACTTGCTGTGAGGGGGTGGGTCCCAGGTCAGTTGGGGACAGGGTCGCAGGCTGGACCAGGGCTTGGGTATGCATTAAGGGATGGAAGTACGGACTGGTAAAAGGACCTAAGTCACAATCCTCTGTCATACCTCACCTCCACCCCGACTTTCTGCTTTTTACAGAGGCCAGGCACAGAATCCAGTTACCAAATAAATCTGCGTTTTGTTTTGTTTTCCCCCAGAGGTCAGACATGGGGATGAGGAGGAAACAGAGGGAAGACTGTGGGGTGGGGATGGAGAGCCGGCAACAGTTTGAAACTATGAGCCCTGGGAAACTCGGGTGTCTCTCCAGGCTTCCCTTGTTGTGGGATATTTGTTTAACTATGTAAGGACGTGTTGCATTTGTTTACTCTGCACTTGTTAATTATGTAAAGATGTGCTGCTGTTTCACCTTGCCTGCCTAAGGCACCTGATTGGTCTAATAAAAAGCTGAACAGCCAATAGCCAGGCAGAGGAGGGGTAGGCAGGGCTGTGGGGCAGAGACAGTAAGTAGGAATCTAGGCTTGGGGAAGAAGAGAGAGAAGAGAGAAAAGAGAGAAAGAGAGGGAGCCACCTGGGGCCAGCCAGTTAGCTGCCAGCCAGCCAGACACAGAGGAAGCAGAAATGTAGGACAGACAGAATGAAAGGTAAAAAGTCCTGAGGCCAAACGTAGATGAAAAGAAACAGGTTAAAGTAAGTTATAAGAGCTAATGGGGCCGGGTGGTGGCGCACGCCTTTAATCCCAGCACGCGGGAGGCAGAGGCAGGTGGATCTCTGTGAGTTCAAGGCCAGCCTGGTCTACAGAGCGAGCTCCAGGAAAGGCGCAAAGCTACACAGAGAAACCCTGTCTCAGAAAACAAAAACAAAACAAAACAAAACAAAAAAGCTAATGGGACAAGCATAAGAGCATTCATAATTAATAATAAGTCTCCATGTCATGATTTAGGAGAGTCATGAAAAAGCCTGCTACATTCCCCAGGGCATGGGGAGAGGGATTGGTCAGTAAAGAATCACCACCCTTTGACCATAGACTGGATGGGGCATCGAGAGGGGAACAGAATCAAAACTCAGTTGAGGGGATGCAGGAAGGATGTCTGGCCACTTCTTGAAACAAACTTCTCAGTCCTGGTCCACCTCACCCATCCTCATCCTTTCCCTGGACACCCTCTGTCATCCCTGGCGTCCCCTCCTGCTGACCCCTCCCCTATTCCCAAGGCCAAGTCACTAGAGGCCAGTTCTCCCCCTCCTGGACATCTAAGATTACTTTTTGCTCCGCCCCCTACTTCCCTTCCCATTGGTGCAAAATCCAAGAGTCTCAGCGAAGCCCAGAGTGTGGAGACTCACTGCCTATGCCTCCCTGGCCGCCCCCTTCCCCCTCCACAGCTGGACGGTTCCTCCCCCCACACACACAGCTGGACGGTTCCCCCCACACACACACAGCTGGACGGTTCCCTCCCCCCCACACACACACAGCTGGACGGTTCCCTCCCCCCACACACACACAGGTGGCGCACGCCTTCAGTCCCAGCACTAGGGAGGCAGAGGCAGGCGGACGTCTGTCAGTTCCAGGTCAGCCAGGACTACAGTTATCCTGTCTTGAAAAACCAAAACCAACCAACCAAAAACAAACAAACAAACAAACAAACAAACAAAAAAAAACCCCACAAATGCCTTGCCCCTCTCCCGAGCTCTGAATCCAGGGGATCCTCCCGCTGCAGTCTCTGGTCCTGCCTGTCTCCCGAGTCCTGTCTCCCAAGCTGAGCTATAGACTGTCTTTTTCACGCCCAGAACTTGAGCCCCAGCCCCTTCCTCATACTCACCCCAAGTCTAGGCGAGGAAGGAACTGAAGGGATCTGGCGGCGGGGGAGTGGTGAGCAGGCCCCAGCACCTCTGGGCAGCAAGGGGAGGCTATGACATCCCACTGGAGGAGGGACAGCCCCTGACCCTCACAACCGTGGGTCTTCAAGGTCCGCCTTTATGACAGACCCAGGGACCTGGAATCCCCAGGGAGAAGATAGGACACACAAGGTCCGCAGGATGGTGACCTCTCTCCTTAAAACAAACCCTTTGTCGATTTCACCCCCACTGCCACCTGTCGCTGTCATCCTGACTTGTCGCCTCCCACATTTGTTGTGGCTGCGGCCGCCCTCCGCGGGATGCCAATAGGGAGAGGACTACAAAATCCGTGATGCTCCGCGGTGCGCGGGCCTTTGACTACCGGTAGTGGTGGCCAGAGGCTTCATGGGGATTGTTGTTCCGGGACCTCTCACTGGCGGGCCGACCGCGAAATAGGATGCTTCTCTTCCCTCCCATCTCTTTCTCAACTCCAGAGGTCAGACATTCATTTTTCCCTTCCCGAAAGTGACCAAAGTGGGTTCCTTCAATGGAAAGTGGATTTTTTTTTTAATTGGAAAGAAGCTAGCCTCTGTGGCCCTGTGTGCATGTACCCTAACTAGGCCGTCCTCTGAGGAACTGCGCCTGCGCAGCCCTTCTTTCTTCCGGTCCGGTTGCACGAGACCGAGCACGCGCCAGACCCACGCGCGGGCCCATGTTTTTGTCTCCTCGGTCGAAGACGGCCACGTAGGGCCCCAAAAAGACGTCTCCGAGGATCCAGAGGGGTCCTGCAGGCTTCGGGATGTCCAAGGCCTGGAAGCCCAACAGGCAGAGGCCAACATCGCTCTTAAGAATCTGCAAGGTGACAACACGGAGGAAATTGGGTGTCCCCTCTGCACCCAGAAGAGGACAAGGAGTGTTGCTAGCTGGGCATGGTGCCACCATCCAGTGATCTGAGCACTCGGGAGACTCAGGCAGGAGGATGGGGAGTTCAAGACCAGCCTGGGCTACATACTTAAACCCATTTTCCAAGGAAAGAAAAGAAAGGGGAGCGACGAAATGGCTCAGCTGGTAAAGGTGCTTGCTGCTAAGTCTGTCAGCCCGAGTTCAGTCCTCAGACCCCCCCCATAGTTAGAGAAAACAGATTCCTTCAAATTGTCTTCTGACTTGTACACACATGCTGTAATCAAGTGCGCACATCCAGAAAATAAATAAAAGTCCCTGAAAGGGAGAGAAGAAGAAAAAGAAAGGCAAAGTTCGGGCTGGGTATGTTGGTGCACACCTAAATCCCAGCACTTGAGGAAGAGACAGGAGGGGCTCTTGAGTCTGAGGTCAGCCTGGTCTATATTAGCAGGTCTGGGTCTGCCAAATCTACAGAGTGAGACCCTCTCTAAAGGCAAAGTTCCTGTGTTGGATATCCAGCCCTGGTGAAGGAAGAGACCCAGCTCTGCCCTCCCAAGCTCAGCTTTGTTGCTCTGATGTCACCATGGCAGTCGCCTTACCTTAATGACATAGTCCTGGCCTGTGAGGTTAAACCAGACGCCACCAAGGCGGAAGGAGACAGGGGGGAGCTCTGGGATCTTGGAACACTGGATGAGGTACTGAGGAACGAGAGGAACAGGACGGGTAGGCAGATGGTTCCTGCTCTGCTCACGTGTCTTGGGTGGATCCCTAGTGCCTAGAGTACAGCTTATATTGGGCAGTCAGGTAGTCAGGACCTCCTGTAGAAAGGCCTGTTAGGTAGGCTTCTCCTATTAAGTCCAGTTCTACATTTTTCCCTCCCACCCACCTGGAAAGCATGCTATCCTCACTTACTTCCTGGTTACCTGCTTTCATCCTTTAGGCCTCAGCTGCCCACCCAAAATCTGCCACCAGACCCCCGAGATCCTCTGAAGCACACCCATGAGAACCAGGAGTAGTCTCACCTGCCCAACCAGGAAGGGAAATCCCCCAATGGCCTTATTCAAGGCCTGGATCTCCTCACTAGGTCCTGTGATTAGAGACGTTCCTGTGTCTAGGATGGCACCACAGCCCTGGGCACAAAGAGTCAGCCCTGTACCAACCTTCACACTGTGAGGGAGGGTGGGGCAGGAGCTGTCAGAGGCAGGGCCTGGGTGTCCAGACCCTCAGCTCAAGCCCCACGAGTCCAGGTTCCTCACCTCTCCATGTGGACCTGCCAGTAGGCGGGGACGGTGACTGGTATGAAGGTGAGGGGAGGTAGGTAGTGGGCTGGGTCTGAGCCCCCCAGGACCAGCTCTCCTCCATCAGACCCTTCGGAATCTCTGCAAGGCAAAGTGAAGTAAGAGGCTGCTATTTCCATGTATTGGTCCCAGAGGTGGCCAGGCATGGGACTTCCTGCCAGTTGGCTTCTAGGTGGGTGTGCTAGCTAGTTTTATGTCAACTTGACACTAGCTAGAGTCACTGGAGAGGAGGGAACCTCAACTGAGAAAATACCGCAATAAGACTGGGCTATAGGCAGGTCTGTAGGGCATTTTCTTAGTGTTTGATTGGGAAGACACAGCCTGTTGTGAGTGAGGCCTCCTCTGGCCTGATTAGAAAGCAGGCTGAGCAAGCTATGGGGAGCAAGCCAGTAAGCAGCACCCCTCCAGAACCTCTGCATCAGCTCCTGTGTCCAGGATCCTCCTGTTTGAGTTCCTGTCCTGACTTCCTTCAGTGATGAACAGTGATGTGGAAGTGTAAGCCAAATAAACCTTGCCTCTCCAACTTGCTTTTGGTTGTGGTGTTTCATCACAGCAATAGTAACCCTAACCAAGACAATAGGGTAGAGGGGTATGGGCAGGTCCTAAGTATGGGAACTGGAAACAAGACAAGGATGACCTTGAACTCCTGATCCTCCCTCTTCCACCTCCCAAGTGTTGGGATGACAGGCATGCACCACCATGTCTGTTACTGATGGGGCTTTTGAGTATACAGTTGTGCCTCCTAAAAGCTGATGACTAATGAGTGAACCTAACTCTAGGCAGGGCTCTCCAGCAGAGTATGAGCTCTCTTTGAGGTGAAGCAAGGGTCCTTAAGTAGAGGACTTGTTGATTGGGCATGGAATTTCCTGTTTGATTTCAAAACCTGGGGCAATGTGAACCCATGGTGAGTTTCGTTGGTATGTCCTGAGCTGCCACTTAGGTTGTGGGGTTTCCTCTTGTGTTTCTATATTGGGTAAGCACTTTCCTGATTGTAGGTGAAAGCTCTTGTGTCGAGAGGATAACTTCCTTCAAGGACCACTGGACTTCCTGTGTTAATAATGGGACTTCCTGAAGGAGTTTTCTCCGGGCTGGTGTTGTAACTGACTGTGTGCCAAGCCAAACAACCACTATCTTGGGAGTTAAACTGTGGCCCCTTGAAAAAGTTCATCCCAGACGGGCTTGTTGACTGTTGACATGGAAGGGTGAGGAGGGTCATGAGACCCTCACCTGAGTGTCCAGCTGCTCCCTCCCATGCAACTCTGCCTCGGTTGCTAGCGGCCTGGGAGAGGGGCTAGAGTATGTAGATTAAGGGGAGCTCCGTCTATGGAGCCACAAGGACCCCCCCATCCCCACTGGGGCAGCCTCTTAGGGGGAGGAGCACCCACTGCTGTGAGTAACTCCTCACCTATGCTCTGTAAGGAAGCTGAATGCACTCATTGGTTGCCCAGAGTGAACTGTGGTGGTAAGGTGCCTAGGTACTGGGACCTCCTAAGGGAAAGGATTTTAGCAACAGCTGGACTCTTGGGTGTGGAGACAGCTCCCATCCAATACCTGTTGAGATAAAAGGAGAAGATGGGCTTCTCCAGCAGCCCCTGCTCCACCATCCTGTCCAGTGGAGGCTGAACTCCTCCCACAGCCAGAGTTGGGAAACCGAGGCCCAGGATCCCATCAAAGCAAGCAAAAGCAAAGACCAGGCTAGGCTCCCACAGAGCCTCTCCAAATGTCACAGAGGCACCGTGGATTCCCCCAATCTAGGGATAAATTGAAGTGGGACCAGTTATTTCTAGAAAGACATTACCCTCCTGTGGCTGAGAACCTGCTTGGAGGCATTGGGGAAAGAATCTAGATGGTCTACATTAGAATCCAAGCCTCTTCCCAAGAAACCATAAACATTTGCTCAGGAAGTTCTGCCCCTCTACTCAGGAAGCTCCACTTCTGGGGAGGCCATGCTTATTTGCAAAGGAAGCCTCCTTTTTATAAGTCCCACCCCCTTTCTCAAGAGGCCCCACCCCTCCACAAGAAGCCCCATCCTCTTGCTAAGGAGATCCCATCTCTTCTCTAGAAATCCTATCTCCTTTGTCCCTAGGAGACCCCACCTCCTCTCAAGAATCCTTCCCCGTCTCCCAGGAGGGCCTGCCTCTTCAAGCCCCTCCCTGAACCAGGTGGTGGTAGACCCTAGGTCAAAGCTGAGGTCTTGTGTGGCTGAAGTCACCCACAGTCAGATTCTCCTGGCTCAGGATTCCGTTCAGCCGCCCAGTCCCATACTGAATGGCAAACTTGGTCCCATTGAGCCGAAAGGAGCTGGAGGCCTTGGGATTGAAACGATGGTGAAACCCTAATTCAGGAGACAAAATAGGTGTCAATCAGGGGATGGGAGACTCAGCACCTGCAAGGACAGCCTAGGGGATACTGAGGCCAAGCCCTCTACTCCCATCACCCCTTTTGGCCTTCTTCCCGGGGGAGCTCACAGCAGGGCAAACTGAAGAAATGACATCTCGTGGATGGGACCCAGAAATTGGAAGAACCCGTGTCAAAGACCACTGTGAAGTTCTGAGGAGGCGTTCCCAAACCAATGTTTCCAAAATACTGGGTCTGGTGGGACAAGGGAGCACAGGATAAGTGAAGAGTTGGGTATTCTGCCTCAAGGGCGGGAATGTGGGGGCTGGGACTCACATTCATGAACTTGGACAGGGGCACAAAGATGGGCTTGTCACCATAGGCGGGGGCCCTTGGAGGCTCTGCTGGCTGTTCCCATCCACTCAGCGGGCTTAAGATCCTGTGTCCAGGGTGGACTCGGCGAAGAGGGACTCTAGAGAGAGAGAATTTGGTCAGTGAAAAAGCCATGCATCCAGGAGCCCTTCGTGTGATAGATGCCCTCCATTGGACCGGAAGGTAACTGTCCCGGGCCCCGCAGTAGCAGTCATTGATGGCAGCTCAGCAATGACCAAGGAATGCTGCTGAGGGCAACTTCACAGCCCTCAGAGAAAACCACGCATGCCCGGGGTGCGAACTCAAAGGCCCACCGCTATCCGGGTGCTTTAAGGAAAGCCATCCCTAGGTACCTCCATTCCCAGCGGGTTCCAAAGATTGCAAAAAACCAAAAAATGATGGGAAGGGGAAGTGGCAGATATGGTTCAGTAGTTAAGAATGCTTGGGATCCAGCAGAGAACCTGAGATCAGTTCCCAATACCCATATCGGGAATTTCACAACCACCTGTAACTCCAGCTTTAAGAGATCCAGCACCCACTTCTGGCACTGAACTTACCTGCACAACACACCTACATGAAGACTCACACATAAGCATATAATTAAAAATAGTGATTGAAAATATATATATATAATAGGCCAGGCAGTGGTGGTGCACACCTTTAATCCCAGTACTCAGGAGGCAGAGGTAGGTGGATCTCTGAGTTCGAGGCCAGCCTGGTCTACAGAGTGAGATCCAGAACAGTCAGGGCTACACAGAGAAACCCTGTCTTGGAAAACCAAAAGCAAACAAACAAAAAAACAGAAGGATATATAAAATATCAAAAATAATATATGAAATATTTAAATTACATTTAAGTTTAGCAGGAATTAAGCTGTAATTTCAATCCTGTACTGCCAGAAGAAACAAAAAAGGAAACCCTGGTTTGACATTACATTTACTTTTTTTTTTTTTTGAGATTTAAAAATTTTTTATTTTATGTGTATGAGTGTTTTGTCTGCATGTGTATCTGTGCACTGTGTACATCTCTGGTGCCTGCAGAGGCCAGAAGACGGTGTCAGATCCCCTAAAAAACAAAGTTTCAGACAGTTGTTAGCTGCCATGTGGGTGCTGGAAATCACATCTGGGTCCTCTGGAAGAGCAGCGAGTGCACCTAACCACTGAGCCATCTCTCCAGCCCTTCATTGACAATTTTTTATGTAGACCTCAGTGGGGGGGGGGGGAGGGCTAAAAACCTGCCATTGTGATGTGAATTCTTGGTGACTTCATGCATGCTGGTGAGACTCTGTTTCCCATGCTTGGGGGTGGGGGATGTAAACGCCAAAGCCTAATTTCACCCTTCATGGTAAGATAAATCACAGATGTAGCAAAGACTTGGTGTGAAAATTCTAAGGACAATAGAAATAAATATAGAACCTAACTGAGGTTGGGGATTTAGCTCAGTGGTAGAGCGCTTGCCCAGCAAGCACAAGGCCCTGGGTTCGGTCCTCAGCTCCGCAAAAATAAAATAAAATAATAAAATAAAATAATCCAGAACCTAACTGAGAAGAGGGAGGCTTTCCTAAGCATGTGGCAGTGTGGTAGTATTGTGTTCCCCAAAATATTGCGCACCCTAATAAACTTATCTGGGGTCAGAGACAGAACAGCCACTAGATACAAAGGCTAAAAAATGGTGGCACTCACACCTTTAATCCTAGCATTCCAGGGACAGAAATCCCTCTGGATCTCTGTGAGTTCAAGGCCACAGTGGAAACCGCCACACATGGTGACGCACGCCTTTAATCCCAGTAAGCGAGCCTTTAATGCCAGGGAGTGGTGGTAGAAAGCAGAAAGGTATATAAGGTGTGAGGACCAGAAACTAGCAGCATTTGGCTAGTTAAGCTTCAGGCTTTCAAGCAGCACAGTTCAGCTGAGAGCCACTGGGATGAGGACACAGAAGCTTCCAGTTGAGGAAAGGTCCGGGTTTGATCTTATTAATAAGAACTTTTTTTTTTTTTTTTTTTTTTGAGACAGGGTTTCTCTATGTAGCTTTGCACCTTTCCTGGGACTCACTTGGTAGCCCAGGCTGGCCTCGAACTCACAGAGATCCGCCTGGCTCTGCCTCCCGAGTGCTGGGATTAAAGGCGTG